CAACACTGCGACCGTTGCGTACATCAACCACCAGGGCGGTCTACGCTCCCGTCGCATATATATATATATATATATTATTATTTTTATTTTTATTTTTTTATATATTTTAAAACAATCATTCCTGTGATGGCAAAGCTGCATTTATAGTATTAATTCAGTCATCAGTGTCACATGATCCTTCAAACCATTCTAATAAATCATTCTAAAATGCTGAGTAGGTGTTCAAGAAACACTTCTTATTTTCATTGTTGAAAACAATTGTGCCTCTTAATTTTTTATTTCGTAATCTTTTTTTTTCAGAATACTTTGATGAATAGAAAGCAAAAGAAGAGCAAAAGAAGAGCATTTATTTGAAAAAATAAAACTTTTATAACATTTTAAATGTCTTTTTTGATTAATTTAATGCATCCTTGCAGAATTAAAGTATTCATTTCTTTAAAAAAAAACATTAGGTCAAGCCTTACTGACCCCAAATGTTTGAACAGTACAATATATAAATTTACGGAATAATTTAACAATCAGCAGTAAACTGCACTAGACCAATCCTCCTTTGTTGTTTGTGGCAGCATTGAAGGATACTGTATTGGTTGCGGTGTTTTGCGTTCTCCTTCATCCTCTGCAGGTGTTGTTGGTGGCACTTGAGGCTCCAGGGGTTGTGCTTGAGCTGAGGGCCAGCAGCATTGTTCCTCTCCAGGCTATAGTAGAACACCTCGGCCTGCTTGAGCCATTCCAGCTCCTCCTCGCGTTTCACACTGGAGGGGTGAGGGCAGAGGTGGGTCAGCCAGACAGACAGATTACGGCTAACTTGCTGAATCAGTCTACGTGTTTGGTAGAACTTGTTTTAAGAGATCTGAACAAACCCTTAAGCCCATGTATTAAACTTTGGCGTGCAAATTGTCCTGTGCTGTTTGTGCTACAAACATAAGTGACACCCCAAGTCGTGTGGCTTGCTGAGGCGGGTTAATACCCATGATTCCTAAAATCCTAAATCCCCCACAAAGAACAAATGCCTCTTATCTGGCCTTCCACCCCTTTTCCCCAGTCACACCGAGGTCACTTCTAAGTCACAAAGCTACGCTGGTTGCATAACCTCTTGCTAAACTTCGGCTCAAAACACACAGCTGCACCAGTCCGGTTGCCAGCAGCTGAGAGTGCATCTGCTCTGCCCAGCTGGGTGTTCTGTGGGTCAGTGCACTCAGCTACAATCGGTCACATTCTCAATGAGTCAGACAAGTGCTGAGCAAGGCCATTATTACAGGAGAATACAGACCAGTATCATTCAAGAGATGTGGGGTATTGTGGCCTAGGCATTAAAGCTTAAGACTGCTAACTGAAAAGCTGCTGTTCGATCCGCAAGGAACAATACATGATTTGTCAGTATTGTGTCCTTGAGAAAGACTCTGAACCTCCTTGCAGTCTCTGGTAAATGACTACATTTTGATCTAAATAGTAATTTTTTTTTACATGAGTTTTTTTCATGTAAAATTGTGCTACAAGGTGCTATTTGGCTGCTAACTCATCTGAGTGGTTTTTAGCACATTGCTAAACAGTTGTTAGGCTGTAGTAGCGCTGAACAATTTGGGGGAAAATATCATTTAGATTTTTCTGATAAAAATTGTGACTGCAATTTAAAATGCCATTTTTTTTTTGCACAGTTTGGTCAAAAAACATTCTGATTATACATCAATATGAATATAAAATATATATTTTTATTATTATTTCAATGTAAAATGAGTATTTGATCAAATAATACAATCTTTTTTATATTTATTAAAATAACTTTAGAATTACAACATTATTAGCTGCTCTGAGACGCAGTAAAAATATTGTTATTGTAAGCTGCATGTGTGTAAATGAACACACTCCAAAACGTACTTGTACATATTTAATTAAACATCAGCCTTTGTGATTTGAAAATCGAATTAAGCCAAACTGCGATTGATTGTACTATTTCAATTAATCATTCAGCCCTACTTGTTAGGTGGATGCTTATAGGCCCATATCAAAAGACACACTTCCAAGTTTCTATTATATCCTGGTCTCTAGTCTCTCATTCAATGTAAGTCTACTGGATTTGTCCAAATGTTAAAATGTTATTTTTGTTGACTAAATTACATGCCATTTTAATCACAGTTAAAATTGACTAAAATTATTCTATCAAAAAATAATTGACTAAATTTATAGACATTTTCAAGACAAAAACATTGACTAAAACAACGGTGTAAAAATGAACACTTCTTCTACGTTTCAACTTTTCAAACCTATTTTTGCATCTATTATGCATATTGATAGGACGATTGCACAATCAGATGTTACCATCCCCTCACCTCTTGTCCTTATCCTTCCGAGCGTGTCTGGACCGGTCCTTGCTGTAGCCCTCATTGTCCAGCAGCATCTTACTGACCCATTTTATTTTGTTATTGGGTTCCAGGTCCGCCGAGGGGTCCACGTTCTCCAGGTCCCCAAGCTCACTGTGCAGAGGGTACGCAATAAGACACAAATTTCCTTCCTCATCCTCCTCGAAACTCACCGACACCACACCTGCAGAGGGATGAGAGAGAGATGGAATAGGAGAGAGAAAGAAAAAAAAATAGGTCAGAGGTGAAATCACAATAACTTCACTTAGGCAAACAGGAAGTGTCAGAGTTCCGAGCTTAAAGTAAACTGTCTTGGAAATCTTTAACATCTCTTACCCACTTCTCTTTTTTGCGCTTAAAAGCTTGCCAGTCTTTAACAAAAGCTACTGAGAGGAAGCAAAGAAGGCCGAGGGTTGGGAAGAGACAGAGAAGTCTGTGAAACAACAACAAGAGCCAATGTACAGGAGCTGTTTCACTGAATCAGTCACAACAAACCACATCAAATGTCTCTTCAATCAATGAAGAAAGGATAAGAAGGAAACCAGCCGACAAACAAATGACATGAGGCTAAATTTATGATGAAACCAACACTATTTATTGTCAAATATCATATCACTTCATGACTCAAATTTCAGACCGATTTCAAAAGCATCCAATAAAACACAATGCATCAAAACCTGGCAAAAAATGAAGGGATCATATGTGAACATTACAAGAATGTATTATGAACCCGAAAGACAGTTCCAAAGACATACACAAGAAACATCTTTGCACTGAAAAATAAATAATAAATAAACAAACAAATCTGTTATTCTGACAGAAGAGAGAGTACTAAAAAGGATAATGTTATGAAAAAGTCCATTTCAACCCTAAATAAAAAAAACAAATATATATATATATATATATATAAAATTGAAATAATTAATTAAAATAAAGATTTTTATTGTAACATTATTTTTTAGAGTTTTTTATTCTCATTCTCAATAACATTCTAGTATTTTTTTATATATATCAAAGTAGAAAATATGCAAATAATTCAATACACTAGTTTATTTAAATCAGCTTAAAACAGAAAAAAACTGCTACTATGCTGTATACATTTTAATCAAGTAAATTATACATTTAATTTTCCTTTTTGTTTATATAATTTTGTTTTGCATTACAGAGAATTAGATTTTGTTCGCATTATAGTAAAGAAATTATTTATAAAAAATCTAAAGCATTATTTATACGCACTTAATATAATATTATTGACATTGAAATCCTACAGTTCTGAAAAAGAAATTAATTTCAAAACAACAAACAACCACATAGATGTCCAAGCTTCTGTTTTGACATCACACCCATCCCCCAACCTCACCGAATAAAAAACAGATGTCCTGCACACTTATCACACTGATAAACAGGCCATATAAAGTGTATGGATGCTGCAGTGTGCATCCAAACAGGGCTGTATGTATGTGTGTCTTGTGTTTTGAAAGAACACAGAGAGGGAAAAAAAGAGATAGATGGACATAAGCAAAAATCTAAGCTGGAGGAACTTGTCTTTCCAGGTGTGTCCTTGGGAATGACAGTTGAAAACAGCTGGTGATGAATATTTTTGTGGAAAACATGATACATTTTTTCAGGATTCTTCATATTGAAATCTTTTGTGACATTATATATGTCTTTACTGTCATTTTTGATCAAAACATTTTAAAAAAAAAAAAAAAAAAAAAAAAACCTGACACCTAGGTGTATGCGTTAAAGTATAGCCTTAACTTACCTTATAGGGGCCCTACCTGAAAGGGACATTTACAAAGATAACAAATATTTAAAGAAATTTAAACTTCCATAAAACACAAAGGTGATGGTTGTAGCCATTCACTTTTATTGTAAAAAACAATGAAGTGTCTTTTTTTATTCCACTAAATAAAGTAAGTCAACCAGGTTTGGAATTACCTGAGGGTGAGCAAACAATGGCATATATATAAACTGGTGCTCTCGGGGGATGAGCGGTTTGCATATCGCCCGCCCCCCGAAGCGGAACACACACGAGTGTCCCCCAACCTGGTGCACAAAGGGCTCAAGGAGCACCCCTTTCCCCAAATACCCCTGCGGCTCTGTCTGCATCCCCTCGATGGCTGGGCTCATCCTCCGGGAGCATTAGACTCTCGCTCCTGGTCCAGTTGGACACCACAGACGTGTAGACGGATGAAACGGACTAGAAGGCCTCTATATATTTCTCTCTGCCTTTCGTTCTATCTCGATTCACTCTATCGTTTATTCACGGTCAGCGATGTAATCTCCGCCGTGCAGCAGAACACTGCAGGACATAAACAAAAGAAACAGGAAGGAGGAAGAAAGGCGACACGACAGAAGAAAGAACACAGCTCTGTGTTTGGATTCAATCCTTTCTTTTACGACACGAATAATCTAGTTCGTATCTTCCTTATTTAGCAAAGAGCTCTGTATTTGTTCTAAGGGCGAAATTTAGGGAATTTAATCGAGAAAGAGCCGCTTAAACGCCTGAGTGTGGCCGCTTTCTCGGAAGCTCTTCTACTGACACCGTAATCTCTCGCCGAGCTGAGAAAATGTCAGTGCTGCATCAGTAGCTCCGCCTCTAACACAAAATCGACCAATCAGAGCACCAGAAACGGTGTTGGGTGGCAACAAGCGGAGATGACAGCATGCGAACAAAGAGTGAGGAAGGGTGGGGGAGGGGAGGATGTAGAAGGAAAACAGTCTCGGGTGGAGGGGGAGGAGCTGAGCGACTCAGCTGTTTTTCTCCCTGTGACATGGATGTTTTTTAGGGAAGCTGGTAAAGTGCACATTTTAAAGCACTCGCAAGGGTCACGACAAGAAAATGCAGTTTACGGGGGACAGGAAACGAAAGAAGCAGAAATGAAAATTATCTAAATTGAATTAAAATATTAAATGAAAACAATTATAAACTAGTAGATAACATCGACATGGCCAAGATGCCAAAGAAAAAACAATAATTTGAACAATAAGTAATATATATATTTTTTTTTCAATTTTATTTGTTTATTTGTATTTTCACAATACACATTGTTTCAAAGCTGCTTAACATAAATCATGATGTCAATTTTTTTATAATACCTTAATGTCCTCATGCCTTTTATAGTTGCTTTTAGCAGATAAGGCTGGGCAATAATATAATTTACATTTTGTGATGATCCCAACAAGGCCTATATAGCCTACTGTTTATTGATTTGCTTGAGTAAACAGATAAAGTTGGATATACTTATATATCCATACATTATATAGAGAGCTGTGTGTGATAATATAGTTTACATTTTGCGACAATCTAAACAATCAGGCAGTTGAGATTTGCTATATAGTATCTCTTTATAAGAGTTTACTGTATGTATGTGGATGAAGTTGGATATACTAGCTATATTCAAACTTATATAGAGAGCTTTGCAACAATAGGCATATAATAGTTTACATATATTTTAAGATGATATGAATAGTCACACAGCCAAGATTTGTGTATAGTGGGTACATACTGCTTTACCTGAGTATACTGTATATGCGGCTGGATGTACCATAAATCCAACTTTAAATATACTATAATAATATATCGATAATATATTTTGTGATGATATAAACACAATATGCCCCTTTAATCGCCGATGCTAAAGTGCCCTTTCGGTCCAATCTTTGGGGTCAATCATTCAGCCGACAAAATGAAGTAGGGTGTCTCTCCTGCCTAAGTGGACAGATGTTTGTTTTCTATGAGGAACTGAAAGCACTGAGTTTCAGACAGTGGCAATGGTATTGTGTCAGGTTTTTTTTTTTTTTTAGATTGAAACAGTGAATGAAATGCTGTTATATGCTATTCAGTGCAAATTGTGATGAGAGTAAATGGGCAATATAATTCTGAAAACATCACAGAAAGTTAATGGAATGACCTGGCCACATGATTTTTTCTCAGAGAAAGAGAAATATGCATAGTTTGAAGGAGGATGGACACATGTATCATATACAATAGGAGGTCTGCAGTAGTGTTGGACCACAGACAGCGGGTTTGACTTTAATCTCTCTCTCTAATACCGTCTGCTGGAACTCAGGAGTGGAAAATGGGTCATGGAAAAAGCATGAGAGAAGGATGGAAAACATGAATAACCACTACAGTGCAGGAACCCCTTTTTCTTGAAATTATCAAGACAGCCAGATGCATCTTTACTATTGAATATTACTTCAGAGACTATCTAATAATTATACCATTGTCTAATATTATTTAAAAGATTTAAATTTAAATTCTGTCAGAATGTAAAAATCTTCATGCTGTTCCAAACATTTTCATTATTACATGTAATATACAGTATAAGATAAATGAAATATTTTGTTTTTATTGTTATGAACAAATGCAAGTAGAGTGTTACCAGTACCTGTCATGCTAAAAAAGACTAAATAAAAATAAAAAGCAGCATTTAAGAAGTCTGTAACTTATATTCTGAAGCCAAAATACCATCGACTGAGAAAAGGACCCAGATTTAAGTTGTTATTTGCTGAAATCTATTTTGCATTAGCAGCATTTTCTGTGATGCAGAGCTTTAAACATTAATACGTCATTACCATATTTGAGAATGTGAGCATGGCAGTGTCAAAGGGCCACACAATTTAATTTATTCATTAATGGAACAAATGCAAATTGAGGGGTGGTATACCAGCGGTTAAAGGTTTTGACCAGTGACACAGGCCTGGCGCTTTGATCACAGAGACCTTTGAGACCTGTGAACTTGAGAATCCCTGAGAGAACCATTGTGCCTTTAAATAGGGTACATAACCCCAAATGGGTTGTCCCTGATATTTTTGTTAAGCTATTTAAGCAGCTTCTGCTAAATGACAAGTAATTCATCACAGAACTAACTAGATATGCTGCTATTAAGATCTATAGAGACCAGTATGTCTTTACAAATGTTTAAACAACACTGACCTCCAGTTAAGTAGTGAAACGAGGGCAGGAGCCAATTCAAACTACCAACAGAGTGAAACACCAGCCTAATTACTGATTTGAGACGGAACAGAGAGTTTCAGCAGTTGCTTGCTGTTGCAATACATTCTGAGATATATGAAACATTCTGTGACCCAAGTGAGAATGAGAGCACTGGATCCTGCAATTAGTGATAGGTTTGCTGTGGCGCTTTTGGCAGAGTTCTAACAAGGGCATTAAACTGTGGCCAATGCCAAGGCAGCACTCAACTCCTCTTAATTCAATCCCAGACTTGGTACGCTGTGATCCAGCACAAAAAAGAAAGTCTGCCAGATCACGGTGTGCCCTGTAACCCAATAAGAACTTGAGGTCAAAGCCAAGGCCAAGACTGGGCTCCATGAATTGAGACAGGTGAGACAGTAATGCGATTAAGGCCATGCAAATCTCTCAATGTAGCACCCAATGGGTTAAAGACACTGGAATGAATGTGCAGACTGGCATCATCAAACCAGGACAAAGTGTATGTGTTAGCATGTTTTGTGCAATTATGAACACAGGTTGCTGGCCATTTGGTGTTGTGAGATGTGTAGCATTTTTTTTTTTTGGCAAGTAAATAAAATTAAAATTGACTCTATTTACCTTCTTAATACTATTCTTTCTTCATTTTTTTTTAATGGTTCGTAATGGTCTTAGTGCGCATGATTTATCAGTGCATATTATTAAAGAAAAATATGTATCTGCAAAATCTTTCAACAAAATATAGTTTAAAGGAAATGACATTCCTTTTCAGCTGACATCAACAAGATCCTTTATTTTTCAACCCTCACCCTCTTCTTCATCCACCTGTAATAAGAGACCAATTAGAGACCACTTTTCATGATCCAATCAATTTTTATTGTAAATTTAAGTCCTGGCCTACATATTTTCATTTTCCTTGCATTAAATATTCATAAATATTTCAGTAATATGTGACCCTATGCAAGAAAATGGATTGTGAATTGAGAATAATGCAATCTATAATAAGCTATAAAATACATAGAAAGAATGTATATACATAGAATAAGGTTGGTTAGCCCTGAAAAGAAGGACAATAATTTAATTTATATATTTCATCATTCTAAGGAATCACTAGTGGTTAGTAAAAAATATTGCACTGAAATATCACATACAGAAGTAGTGTTAAATAAACTCTCCCCTGTGTTTTGAATCACTTATAGCAATTAGAGAGCAATGACAGAATATGACATCCCCAGATTCCAAATTTGTGTGTGTGTGTATGAGACAGAGTAATTAAGAGAGGACAGTATGACCTTGAGGAACCCACGGGGGCCAAATCTCCTGATTTTGCCCACGTGATGACAGTGGCGCGAGCAATAAGTATGGATTAGTATGGGGTAAATGAGAAGGTGTTGACTGACATACCTGAAAACAAACATAAAGGACAGCTGGCAAAGTTAGTGAGAAAGGAAAGCAAAAGAAAATCTTACTAGTAATACTTACTCACTATAAAGTTACCTGAGGAACACGAGAAGGCCTTTTCCATGAGTATTTTGACCTATACACAAACACTTCTGCTTAGCAGTGAGATCATACTCTAAGTACGAATCTAACTGACCAGCCAAACCAGACAACAATACAGGCCAATAGCCAAAGATCCCTAAACAGCCATGTCCTGCGCTGGGTGGAAAATAGTTGGGCTCAAGGTAAGTCTATTTACCAGACAGCTCAGAGCAAATCTGCACAGGTCACAGAATAATACCTGCACAGTACCTATACTCTCACATAGTGACTAATAATAGCACTGTTTTTCAGTAGTCTTATAATAGAGGTGGATTATATTTGAATTACATTAAATATATACATCCCTAGTAAATGTAGCCATTTGTTCTATATAGATTTACATTGCACATATATTTCAATAACATATAGTTTACTAAACCTTTCATTTTCTGTCACTAATACAACCCCTTTTTAAAAAAAACTTTGCCATAAAACTAGACAAATGGACAGTTAAATAGATAATAAAACAATCATTTAAACAAATTACCTATAATAACATGCTCCAAAAGTGTTCAGCAGCATATACAAATAGCGGAAGAATCAGGTAATACAATCTTAAAATACTCTGTGGCTTTCTAATTTTAATAAACATATGTAAAACATGTTGAGCATTTCTTGACTGGAGTCTTTAGAGTATCTTAAACGATTGCCTGGATGTCAAAGTTGTCTGCGGTTTTGACTTCGCTCGTCCACACTATGAAAACAATCCATCACGTGCAATAAACACATGTACGTGACACGGAGATAATCCATCTTCAATGTCAGCACATGTAACCCAGAATATCCCTTACATCTGTCTATATATGAAGCCCTTCCTGAGCTGGTGCGATCATGACACGCATAACGGTTGATTTAAAATAAGCCACATGCCGGATACAGTGAGAGTGTGTCTTGATGTCTTTATGAAGGGTCGTTGGCCTGAACACACACATCCTCTCTAAGACAAAGCTTTTGAAACATCCTGAGTGCTCTCCACCCTACCTTAGAGAACAGCATATCCTGCTGAGATATGAATGCTGTCAGTCCTAGTGTGTGTGGGTCAAGTTTTGCCAACA